ATTTCTGCATCATTATGAACGCGGCCTAATGACGGTCACATGCCGTCAGTCATGAAGTACTGTCCGTAATCTGCTATCATGGCAACACATTTAATTTCACGGCATCTCTTCAATTTTTTTCTCCAGTGTGCTTGCGGTGCTTTGGTTTACTATTTGCATCGGGGTGCTGTTGCTTGGCTCTTCCTCATTAGAACTGTAAACTTAAGAGTTATGTGAATGGAGAGTATAGTCAGATAATTTCGACTGCCTGGTGCATATATCCTTTTTCTCCGTTCCTATCCCGTAGTGGATAGTTATCAGTGCGGAGCGACGCGAATGTATCATTTCTATCGCTATTTATTCATCTCGCCAGTTCGTCGCGAGCTACGAATGGAGCGCTCTTGTTTATTTCGAGTTCTACATGAAAATCTTTTCTGAGTTTTCATCACCACGAACTGATGTCAGCAAACATTTTGAGCTGTGTTTTTATATCATTTCTCGCTAGGGTATTTGGGAAGGGGGGTCCACTCTCAGAGGCTCTGTATCACTTTTCTTGGTCAAGGCTTAGGCTTAGTGAAAAATACGTATTCTCCGCAGGACTATCCCGCAGCAGCGCGGCTAAGTGCCCTTCCCAACTAACTTAGCGCTTAAGATATATTCCTCGCCTCAAGAACGATTCCTGGAGACTGCTTCGCTTAAAGCGTTCTTTCTGTGAATCTGAAAGAAGGACTATGGATCTGGAGCAGACCTGGACTCATAATTGGAAAAGTCATTCGAGCACCCTTTTTCTTCTACATTCTTGCGCTAGAAACTGGTTTTTACTTCTTAGAGTAAATAGAGATGATTGCTGATCTTTTGACGGCGTCAGTTTAACTCATCGGAAAAAGTGTAGTGTTTGTGGAAGCATTCTCATTGTCAGTGCGTCATGCAACCTCTAACTCCCCTCCTCCACCCGACACATCTTTTCGGAATCTTTTTCATCAGAACGTCCAGCTCAGTGTTCCGGCACTTCTTTTTGCCGTGACATTGAAGATTCCATAGAAATTGCCTTGATAAATCATCTGAATTCGAGCAGTAAATTACTTTTTCTTTGTTTCAAGAAGCGAGTCCGTGTTGAACTATAATGGAGCGCTCACTATTCCCTTGAAAGGGTTGATGTTAGACTTTAAAAAGTTAGTGGATAAGTTTTGCAGGCAGTCGCTGCCCAAGAGCCTGCCCCCACGCGATGCAGTCCGAATTCCCATCTCTTGATAGGTTGAACCACTTCAAATTGTCATAAGAAGCCGATTCTTCGATCATGGATAGCACAGTCTTTGAGCTTCTTCAATAATTTAAGAACCGAGATAAATTGCAAAATGTTGTTGTCAAAAACTCTTTTTTGGGTCAACCCGACACTCCTTGAATGAAATAAGAATCGACAGAAATCAAGAAACAGCAGGAGGGATTTTCTATCGAATAGCCTAGAACACATTGGAAACGAGCCTCACTTTTCACGTAAAACTCTGTGTAAGGAAAAAAATGCCATTACATGTGGGCCAACCCAATAGTCTATCGATTTCGAGTAAGCAAACAAGCTTTCTCTGAGTGCTTGGACTTTTTTTGCCTCATATCTGTAGACTTCTGTTAAAGAATACTCACGTGCCATGTGATAGCCTTGTGACCGTGTTTCTACCTGGAAAGAAACAATTGCCCATACTGTTTTTGTGGAGCTCTAAATTTCACTTGGACGCAGTTCTGGGGAAACGGAACATTCCACACCTCGTTGTCACTAGTTTCGGTTTACAAGTCTTACTCTGGCAAAACCTGTGAATTTTTTGAAGCTGGAATAGGCTCGTCGAGCCACCATAATCAATGGTTTTTGTATGGTATTTCATCGCGTTACAAGTTGCCAAGTGGTCTTTAGAAACCTTGACTGGTATCGTTTCGTGGTTTCAAAAGATTACACAGGTCTCCACTTGATGGGATGTCAGTGCGAAGTAACAGAGGTGCAAAATGCCCCTCCTATCCTCAGCTGCGATTTTGACTTGTTTTCTATCAAAGAGATTGAATCGGGTGTGGGGTAAAGAGTTAAAGGCAGTTGGCACGATGATTTGGTGATCGGCCTAAAATGCTAGTATGCTGTATAGTGGGGAAATGGCGAAAGAACGGAGTGAAACGGTCAAAATCCTGCGAAGAAAAAGCCTCCGTTCTCAGTGACTTGAAATCGATTTTGGACGAGTTTCCCGTAGGCATCTTGCCAATAACCGCTACCGAAGGTACGGCTGCATATGTGTACTCATATATGCATGCAGCATCACGGCCGC